TTAAGACAAGGATGAAGAGTCGAAACGGTACGACGATTCGTTTTCTTCCACTATAAAAAATGTAATGAAACTTCAAAGCTTCCGCGCTTCGGACCAAAAAAATTAAAATAAGAGAAGGTGATTTTAGGAAGAAACAATTAATAATTACTTAAGGAAAGACAGAAAAAGAAAATGAGAAAATGATGAAGACAAAGAACAACATAAGAGAAGGTGGTAGAAGGAAGAAACACAGGATAGCGTAAGGAAAGAGAGGAAGAGGAAATAATAAAATGATAACAACAAACAATAACATAAGAGATGATAGAACAAAGAATAACTTAAGTAATTAAGACAAAAATAGAAAAATGATTAAGAATACATAATGGAAAGATAGAACAAAGGATGAAAGATGGAAAAAAACAAAGATTAACATAAGGAAAGACAGAAAAAAGAAGTGATAGAAGGAAGATACAAAGAATAGCGTAAGTAAAGATAGGAAAAAGGAAATAATGGAATAATAAAAACAAACAATAACATTAGAGATGGTGATAAAAGGTAGTAACATAACATAATGAATTAAGACAGAAAGAATACTGCTTAGGTCGGTTTATTAAAACCAAAAGCAATGAGGAGAACACAGCGAAGGTCTAGTAACTAGACTACTCTCATTCAACAACAATAACATAAACATCGCTCAGACACGCAGCTCAGAAATTGTCACACAACCTTCTCCGAGTTTGATTCTGATGCCAGCGCACGCAGCGCAATTACGCATACAGTTTTCTAACGAGACCGTACGTGCTACAGCGAAGGAAGAACGTACACGTAGTGCCTCGCTAGAAAATTGGACGAAACTCGAAAAGACCCGTATGTCTATGCGACAATCTGCGCTCAAGCGTAGGCTGAGCAGCGTGGGCTGAGCGCACGATCTCATATTTATCTCCGCTTTTGCTGGTTCATTTTTTCCCGTTCAAAATTGCATTTGAGGTAGCAGTTCATTTTCAAATTTCTGGTAATAAAATCAAATTCAAAATAAAACATGAAATCAAAAAAACATGTGCACTAATATGCGCAGTCATAAGAGGGCTTAATCCGATGCAGCTGCTTAACAGCCGGTCGAAACGTGATTGACAGCTCTCTCCACGAGAAGAAGGGGGAAAAAGTTTCCTGAAGTGAGTCAAATCTGAAATTTGTTCGGGAGTATCAATATCATATCTCCGGTATTAGTTGCCCGATTTTTGGGCTTTGAAGTTTTTTGGGGGCAAATGAATCCCTAAGAACAAATTTCGGAGAAAAAAAACACAGATTTGTGTAACTTTGGGATTTTTTCTTCACATTTTCTCTTCAGCCAGACTCTGTTGACGGGTCTTATCAGCGCGTCATTGGCAATGGATTAGGAAAGTGATAAGAACGGGAGGTCCTTCTCCAGGCTCGTTTTCAAACTCTATGAGACAATTTCCGAGTTAGGGACACTAAAGTCGGAATCTCTCTAGCGAGGAATTTTCGTAATAGTATATACCTCTCTTTATAAATCAAGTCATATGATTGGTGGAAATTGCAGTCGTGATTTTGGATATTCCCGCAAAGAGACGAACACATAGTCAGTCAATAGTTCATGAGTGATGTTCCTGCAACATTCTGGGTACCAGAAAAATATTTAAATCCCTATTGGTTTACGTGTTAAACTTCGTGTTAAACTAAGTTTGAGCGCGGCTAAGGTTACGTTTATGCTCAGTTTTGAAGGCAGAATAAGCGATTTGATACGCTCATCGTAAAAGCTCATCGTAATCGCAGTTCCACGGTATACTGTTTATGCTCACTTCTCTGGCTCCTCCAGACCGGGCATGATTCTGGCTCAGAGCCAGAATCATTTCTGGAGGAGCCAGAGAACTGCAGTGCTGAGTCTGCAGCTTGATTCGCACACCTGCACTGCGCATGCTAGGTGACCCCATTTAAACGCGTTTACAAATGATTGTGCGTTTATGCCCCAGAATCGCCGATCGTAACGCACCTTTTTGTGAGGTTACGATCGCCGTTTTTCGGTGATTCTACACAAATGAGAAAGGACGCAACCGTGTTTTGAACCAAACGCGTAACAGATGCCTCATTCTGGCCAGAAAATATTGAGCATAAATGTACCCTTTGTCCATGGTGTTGGTATATTATTTTGTTTGTACATGCATGTATATGGACGTTTAGATGATGAATGCATATGACGGGCTGACAAATACGGGCCGACCTCTCTAGGGGTACGTTTATGCTCAGGTTTGAATGGAGAATGAGCGTGATTTGAAACGCTCATCGTAAACGCTCATCGTAATCGCAGTTCCACGGTGTACTGTTTATGCTAACTTCTTAGGCTCCTCCATGCATGATTCTGGTTCAGAGCCAGAATCATGCCTTGAGGAGCCAGATAAGTGCAGTGCAGAGTCTGCAGCTTGATTCGCACACCTGTACTCCGCACGCTACGTTGACCTCATTTAAACGCGTTTACAAATGATTGTGCGTTTTTGCTTCCCCTGAATCGCCGATCGTAACGCACCCTTTTGTGGAGTTTACGATCGCCGTTTTTCGGTGATTCTACAAAAATGAGAAAGGACGCAACCGTGTTTTGAACTAAACGCGTAACAGATGCCTCATTCTAGCCGGAAAAAGCTGAGCATAAAAGTACCCTAGGTAAGTTTGTGCACGGCTAACAATTTTTTAAAACCAATTTTGCATGATCGCGCAATGCACGTAGACTGCATAGGAATGTATGCGTGCAATCTCAATGGGAAGGATTCTGGCACACAAAATCGAGTGCGCCTTAAACTAGGTCTCTACCTGCAAATGATCAACAATGACCTCGTTAGCGTAGACAAACTTGATTACCATGGTTGGTAAATCGCGCATGTATTCTATGACCCCTTTTCGGCCTTTTATAAAAGACAAAATGACTACTTAAATATTAGACAAATAGTTGTGTTATAGGCTCTCGGGTACGTTGCATCTTGCCATCACCCCTCGGCATGCATCGGGGTGATATCAGGATGCAACATCCCTTGAGCCTATAAACAACTATTCCTCTCACAACAGTCATTATATCTATCTTATAATATTGTCAACATCTCCGCCAACGTTGGTCACCCCTTCATACATCATTTATGAGAAATGTACATTTCGGCAGCGCGGCACCTTTTTACACGACGCAGTATCCATGGTACCCTTTTTTTAAAACTGTGCTCCCAGTGGATGCATGTTTTTTTTTTTTTTTTGCTCTCCGAATATTCCTTAATTTCTCGTTTTCTATCTTATTTTGGTCAACATTTTTCAAGCAATTGCATTTTGATGTATCAGGGCAGTTGCGGGACACGGAACATTTGTCATATTTCAGCGCAGAACGTAAGAACATTCCGAATTTGAGTGTGAGTTTTTGGTTTGAAGTCTTCCATTGAACATGCATGCCTACACATGTTATTTGGAAGCATTACTGCACTGACTTTGAGTTTTGAATTTGCATGTGAATGATATAACAATTTTGTGACAATGGGGATACACTGGATCGAAGCGTGATGGGCTTTCACATTGCCAGCATTCTTCTCTTCTTGCAATAAATGTATGAATACATGACATAAATTATATCAATTTGGTACACAAAATGAAAGGGGCAGGGTGGATTCTGACCCCGGCCCTTTAAAGGGACTTAGTAACAAGTTCAGATTAGAGAAAATGGTGCTAAGGTAGTGACCTCAATGCCAGATATGGGGTTTAATATAATCTGAAAGTTTGAGTGAAAACGGACAATTATTAATGATGACAATTGTGAAAACTGATCTGATCGATTCCTTAATTCTCCCAACTATATTATTACAATTTTATTACATTTTAGGTGAATTTAAACCATCACAAGGCAATAAATTTGCCCTACTAAAGTGTACCATTTCAGACATTTAAGTGTTGAAAGATTTTGAAAAGCCTGTCTTATGTCTTTTTCTCATGGAAAACGGTTGGGAAAATTCAAAAATGGTTGGGAGAATTAACTATTAATCACTGTTATAGGTTGTTGCACAGTGACGCCTTCAAATAAAACCATAAATATCTTTTTCTCACGATTTTTTTCCTGCTAAGTACAGTAGAAGGAATATAATAAGTCACATTTCATTCAAAAATTACACAGTTTTTTCATCAACCTTCAACAATGTTACTGAGTCACCTAAAGAGTTTAAAAAGAAAAAAGAAAAAAGAGCCTTCCCGGGGGTCCGGATTGATATGCCCTGGCATATACCGACGGAGCCGGAGCCGAACAAGAAAGGACTTAATATTCTTATGTAAACGCGTTCTTCTTTCTTTTACTTCTCTGTGTAACGCCGCCCCCATAGGCCGCCCTATGCACTTAGAGAGCAAAAAAAAAAAAAAAATCTGTTTTATTTACTAATGTAAAGTGCTTTGAGCATGTTTCTCAATATGTATGTATGTATCATGTTTCTGTCCACAGATACTCAGGATTTATCAATGAAAATCAAATCGAACATCCGTTCCACGCGTGGTGTTTGTACAAGCATCCATGGTACAAGGCGGTGACTGAACGTGGGTGGTACAGTGTGATACGATACGTAGATGATATAAGTTGTTTAGTTGTTATGTATACAATTTTTTTATACGACCTTCTGAACTCCTCGTTTATGTATCTATCGGGATATAACATTCCCGGACACACATTTGTTATCTCATTCAGTATACCTGCACGCATCGGAAACGTACTGAAGGGCCTTAAATCAAATTTAATGCAGAAATCTTTTTTAAGTGCTTGTTACAATTTCAGAATTTGATGTGCATAAATTACGTGTTGTTAGGTAGGACAAGTCATATTGTGTGTGCTACCGCCCTTCTGCCAGCCGGCCGACGAATTGTCGATGTCTATGTAGCGGCTCTTACATGCCCTACTTTCACCATACATTCATGTCTCCTGTATTTTTCCATCACGGTATTTATTTATATTCATTATTCGGACCACGTGTGTTCATTCCTCCAATCGAGCATCGTGGTTCCGCGCATCGTTCACCCGCGTATTTTCATCACCACGAGGTTTTCTTCACTCCCGCTTACACCTCGGTCGAGTCAACAACTCCCGCTTACACCTCGGTCGAGTCAACAACTCCCGCTTACACCTCGGTCGAGTCAACAACTCCCGCTTACACCTCGGTCGAGTCAACAATCCCGCTTACACCTCGGTCGAGTCAACAACTCCTGCTTACATCTCAGTTGAGTCAACACGTTTCTGCATGATTTCTTCTCCGGGCTTGATTCTACTGTGCCTATCACTTCTATCGGCACATCTTCACTTTCTCTGCCGTGTTCATCGGGCTGCAGTCTTCCAGTGGAACAGTTAAATCTAGTTCCGACATATATGGTGCTTGGTTATCCGCTGGGAGCTGCCAGTTTCTTCACCGGTAGTCTTTCACTCACATGAGCTCGACTCACCGCAGCTCATCTAAACATTCACCATCAAAGTTCGGCTCATCAATCGAGCGACTCACCGTCTCAGCACCACTACCGGCTTTGATGTGCATGTCTTCTCTTCTCTGGCCCTCCGACAGCAAGCGACTCACTGCTTTCGTCATCGAGCGCCACACATCTCTTCTCTTCTCTTCTCTTCTATTCTCGCCCGAGAGCTCCATCTACATTCATCATCATCACGAGCGTCGGCGACGACATCGCTTTCTTCACGGTTCTTCAACCACGTCATCGAAGTCGCGTTTCCGCCATCAAGCCTCCGCACATTTCATCGCGTGAGCCCCTTCCTTCGTTCTCAACTCTCTTCATCTTCATTGAACTTTCGGCTTCATTTCTACTATTGTCGTAAGCTCTATTTATGTACATCGCATTTATTCATGTTCATTATCACCATTGATCATTATGTAATCTCCGTGCAATATTCACATTTACCATTTATGCATTCTCATTTCGATTCTTCGGCTTGTGCTTGGCTACACTTTGCAAGTGTACGGCCAGCCTCATCAGTACCCAAAAAACATAACGAAAAGGGAATACCTTCTTTCATGTATTTTATTGTCAGTGCAACCTTGCTTCCTCGTAGCTAAAATAAAAATAAGAGTTATGTTATGTGACGAGTGAACACGCTCTCAAATATCCATTCACAATACCTCACACTCATATCTCTATTCTCACCTTTGATCATTCATATTTCTACATCTACATTGCATGTTTACTGTATATCCGCCAGTTGTGGAACCTCAACTAATTTTAATGTTACGGCCACATGTACATGTATTATGATGAGCACAATGCGTGCCGATAGTAATTTATTACAGAAGCGCACCCTTTGTTCATTTGCCAGCAACCTGCCAACCAATACATCGTCGCTAAGAGAGATGGAGAGAGAGAGAGAGAGAGAGATAGAGACAGAGAGTGGGTGCATGGGCGGGGATGAGGGGTGCATCACTGACGTCAACTCACAAGTTTGATGAACATTTTGGGAATTTGTTATCTCGACTTTTCTTGCAAATCTTGGTGATGGGGGTGGGAGACTTGTTCCTAAACTCACCCAGGATGTGCTCTTTTTATTTCTTGCAAAAACTGATGATAAATTATAATAAAAAGATAATAAATAATAATATTTTAAAGTCCACTCCAAATTTATTAAGTTATACCGAAAATGGAAATTCTTGTTGCCCAATTGATCAAGCATTGTAAACGTAAGCAATTTTGGGGACTTAATAACTCCAACATTTCTTTCACACTTACCCTATAAAATACATGCATATGCTGCATTCATCTATCATTTTTTTAACAATCATGATTACATTTTTACGGATTAAAAATCTCAGACTATTTATGATGTGGGAAAGGACTTTTTCCTCAACCTACAGTATTTGTGATTATTCAACATTTTTAAAACTTTTTTAAATGGAAAATATTGTGCATCGTAACTTATCTAGAAGAAGAAAAAAATCCCCTACACCCGTTCCCATATTATAGGCATGTATGCAGGGTCTTCTTTCTTTTTTCTCCAACATTTAATTAGTTCATCGTCTGATTGTAAAGTGCACAATTGGTTTTCTGAATAAAAACCAATATTTTCTCAGCACACCCATCATTTTCTGAGTATCCTTCAATGGTGTGCATCATAACCAGTCTAGATAAAGTAGATATAACCCCATTTTGCTGGCGTTCTGGACAGCCAGGACAATGCCAAAAACTGTTCAGCAAAGTATGTTCGTATCAGCCCCCATCCAAAATGTTATAGTGATGCTATCGAATATATGATTGAATACAGGAGGTTAGTTCACTTCTTATTCAAGTTCAAGTTTAAAGTTTCAAGTTAATTTTTTCACATTTCATTTAGAAAACAGCAAGTACATATTACAACACTGCAAATTACACAGTAAAGGAAAAAAACACTTTTGGTAAATGTAGATAAGGTATATGGTTGAATAAAATGGGACGATAACTTACATGAAAAACGTTTCAACAAACGCACACAAACACGCACGCCACACACACACACACACACACACACACCACAAACATAACAAATTCTTTGACATGGCATTAGCCCTTAACTTAGAGGACTTACTACCACCGATAAACCTGATAATAAGTTTGTTTTAATACAAGGAGAAAATGAGAAGAACAGATGAGTGAAAGTTTGAGGAAAATTGGAAAATGAATAAAAAAGTTACAGAATTTTGAATTCATCAAAAAAGATATATCATTGACATTGTCGCCTTGTTTGACACCCCCTCCGATTTCGGGGTATTCGCTACAAATTATTAAAAATACACCTCTGAACTATTGTGTATAATGATTAAATATTTCGATTAAATAAAGTGCGCTTATTGTGTGTGGTAGTTGCAACCAAATTAACAACTTTGGCCCTCCGCTTATATCCAAGCTTTGTCATTTTTAAAGTATGTGAACAATTGATTTGTCCCGATAAACGTTTCTTGAGAATAGGACATGTTGGAGACCGTCAATACTACTGGGCCAGAAGGGATTAGACCACAAAGCGAGGTCACTGACAGGTGGCTATCTCATTAACTCAGCTCTCAACTTACATAATAAAAAGAGGATCATGGGGGACCAACAGGCACCGATTAGGGAAGTTTTCTATATATAGAGGGGGCAAGTAGCTACAAGTAGGACAATGGGGATTTAAAGCCGACATCCAAAAGTATTCAACAAAGGCGCCAATTCAACCAGTGCACCTTTCATTCTGAGTTACGAAATACGCAAAAAATATGAGATTTACAAGAGGTATGAATGGAATAGTTTAGCTGTCACCTGTAAAGATCCATATTTACAAGTATATCAGGGTTTCCTTCATTATGAAAACTAGGACCTATTTTTCAAAATGATATCAGAATATTAAAATCGTTTCGGGATGATTTTGAAATTTTCTTTCAAAAAGGGTTCTGTGGATCGCTATGAAAGGGATGTGGAAGAATCTATTATGTAATAACAAATGAAACACACCGAATAAACTTCAGTCAACTCATTCAATACATTTGAAGCAACACTCACCTATTACAGATCAATAAGCGTGGCATAAGACCTTCAAAACATTAATGTATTCATAGTTTGTGCATAGTTAAAGTGGGCTTCATAAAATTAAATGTTCTCAAACCCAAATCATTAAAAGCTCTAATGGGCTGCGAGAATAACGTAAATTAGAGGAGAGAATTAACGAATCAAGATGGCGCCGATGTTTTGATGCACCAATTCGAGTTCTCTATTTTTCCCCGCACATCAATCATTCTTGTCCCTGATAATCAAGTATTACTCCTTCCAGTATGATTATAACAGTTTCTGGAGAATACTAAAGTACAAAGATTAAAACCAAAAATATTCTTTACCTTTCAAGTCGTCATCATAGTGGAGAGACCTTTTAAGCCTGCACCGTAATAAAAATCATGTGATGGTCTCATCTTATGTTTTTTAAGGACAAAGGAGTGTTACCTATTCGTGCGCCCTAATGACGTGTGTGCCCGCTCGCACACTAGCTATATACGTTCTTACGTGCGAATACCAGTTAGGTGAATCATAATGGGGAATGGTAAATTGGTAGGGGTGAGCGCGCGCACGCACTCACAGTTCCAAAACAACTATAATAAGGAGGTTGCATGGAAGAACCTAGCCCACTTCCACCTAGTGGCGGATCTCGGGGGCTGGGGGCCCGGGCCTCCTCCCCTGGCCCCTAAAACAGGTACATGCTAATTTTTTAAATAAAAAAGAAGACGGGCCCCCTCCCCCTGACGCAAGGGTGGGGGGGGGGGGTTGGGTAGTGAGCACTATTTTTTAAATCAACAATAATATATTGCTTGTTTATTCATAATTATTTCATATTTTAAACTGCTCGTGATTTATTATCATAATGATATAATGAGTCAAACTAATATAAATAACAACACTAGTAATAATAATAATAATATTAATATTGATAATGATAATAGAAATAATAATTACAATGTTACACTGTATACGTAATTACTCTGGATATAGGAACAATATTGTAAATAATGTAAATTCAGAAAAAATATCTATATAGGCCTACTGAGAATTTTAAAGTGCTATATTTTTTTCCTCTATATACTCGTTCTATGTTGTATGTACATTTCATATATTTTTCTCTGTGACTAAGTTCAAGTTCAAGTTCAAGTTCAATTTATTTCTCCATAAATGCAAAACATAGGGAGCTACATAAAATAAAATACATACACAAACAATAATAGAACATGTACATTATATATAAAGCGACTCCAGTTTGAGCAATGTATGTTTTAAAAAGAAAGAAAAAATCAGCATATGTGGAAGGGTAGTCAAAAATCAAAAATGATTTGTCGAGGACTACCCTCAGTAATGAATGTAATGAATGTAAACGCAACGAATTTCCTTTTGGACCAATAAATTTGAATTTTTAATTTTGAATTGGTTGAACTGGCAACAAATTATTCCAAATAGCTGCCGTTTTTATGAGGTTACACAATAGAATCTACAGGTGTGCTGTTACCTTTGATGTCTGAGGTTTGAAGCCGCCAAAGCTCGAGTAGTGTTTTTTTCACAAAGAAATATCCTTAATATTTTACCTTTTTTTAAAAACTAACAAGCTGAAAAGCGAACAGATGATAAAATATGAATACAAAATCCTAATTGTGTCAAGAAATTTGCTGACATTGTATGATAGCAGCTTTGATTTGTGAAAAATAGTAAAATCTTACAGTCCTAAAACCTACAATTTGCTTTTTTCCAAATTCTTCCGGCTCATGAACATAAACAGTGAAATTGTTCATTTACAGTTCTTTATGATGTCATAGCAGAACCCCCTCTTTTTCAATCACCCACAAAATGTCCCTTTTACAAAGGAAAAGTGCCCCTTTAACTTTGTAAGAAGTACTCCTTTTTACATTAGTGCTCCGTTTACTTTAACAAGTGCCCCTATTAATTTGTAAAAGTGCCCCTTTCCCTTTTCAACTCTGGTAAATGCTCTTTTTACTTCAACAAGTTCCCAATTTCCTTTGCAATTAGTGTCAATTTTCCAT